GACACAGTGGGATCACAGACACAGTGGGATCACAGACACAGTGGGATCACAGACACAGTGGGATCACAAACACAGTGGGATCACAGACACAGTGGGATCACAAACACAGTGGGATCACAGACACAGTGGGATCACAGACACAGTGGGATCACAGACACAGTGGGAAGCTGTCTGGGAGGACAGGGCTATTTACCACAGTAAACAGAGTGGGTGCAATTCAGCTGGTAATCTAGCCATATATTTTTGTGAGTGATGAAGAGGCGTAAATAAAGTAATAAACAATTAAAAATTGTTGTATACATATGAATGATGACAAGATGAGAGGGGCGATAAGTTTTTGTAGCGCATTCAATTTTAAGACTACGGTATTCGATTGCAAGAACAAGAATATCTAATTAAGAACAAAAACTAGTTAATCAAGAAAATATCTATTCGATTAAGAACAAGAACTATTCAAGTAAGGAAAAGATCTATTTAATTAAGAAAAAAAACTACCCTATTTAATTAAGAACAAGAACTATTTAATTAGAAATAAGAACTATTCAGTTAAGAATAGGAACTATTTAATTGCCTTTTTTGATCATTGAAAATTGTTCTGGAATATGTGAAGGCAGCTAAAGTGTAGGCTGCGGACATAGACTTAAAAATATTCTAATCATAAGACACAAATTGAAAATCCTGAATGAAGACAAAAAAATCATGTAATAATGAAGACATGAACTGCTCATGAATATTGCTAGAGTTGTCAACTAAGGCGGGCACCATGGAAGCGTCAACCAATATCTGGTTTAGGAATTCATGATAATAAAAAGTCTAGCAATCCCCCTTGGCTTGTGATGTGTGATAACTTGTGTAGTTAAAGCAATCCCTGCTCTAACACATCCAGAGGTGGTAGAGCAGACACACTATACGCTGGAACTCTACACTCACACATCCAGAGGTGGTAGAGCAGACGCACTATACGCTGGAACTCTACACTCACACATCCAGAGGTGGTAGAGCAGACGCACTATACGCTGGAACTCTACACTCACACATCCAGAGGTGGTAGAGCAGACGCACTATACGCTGGAACTCTACACTCACACATCCAGAGGTGGTAGAGCAGACGCACTATACGCTGGAACTCTAGCGGTATCTCTATGTTGATGTCCTGGTAGAAACACGCGGAGACTGGGAAGTGGGAAGGCAGCGGCGGCCAGTTGTTGGCCCGGGGACCTGCAATGTGGGGGAGGATATCAGATCTCCGTACTTACATCTAGGATAAGATGAATACCTACACAAATTACAGCATTGATAATGTACCCAGCCAAATTTAGGATAAGATGAATACATAAATTAGAGCAATGATACGGTAATATAGCCAATACATGCATTTTGAGAATAAGCTAAATGCAAGTCAAAATTAGTGCACTGTCTTTTATATATGAAATTTAGGTTTTGATGTCTGACTTTGGATTTTGAATTATAATAATTATTTTCAACTTTCTCGATTGTCAAACTGATGATCAAGCAGGAATCTGAAACGTTTCCAATATCGATATGGTGAATTTACTTGATATTCTCTTTGCTTCTTAACTCCTTGTGTCAGAATGTGTTGTGCTGCCTGAAACATACCTACAGGGGGAGGTTTTCTATCATTGAATTCACATTCAAATCATTCAAACTGAATGTTGAATGGTGATGGAAATTTGACTTGCCATGTTGAACACCTATCAAGTTCATTATCAAGCCACTGCTGATGAACATGAGACAAAATATCAAATTGAATTACCCAAAACATATCAATACTATCCCAGGAAATTCAACAGGAAGGTAAATAGTGGTATTGTATTAAATAGGTACAAATTTAACATGGAAGATAAATTTAAAACTTATTCAATAATATTACATAATGACATAATATAATAATATAAAAACATTGAAGTTAAATACTATTGTATTAAAAAGGTAAAAATTTTAGATGGAAGATAAATTTAAGACTTATTTAATAGTATGATAAAATGACATAATATAATAATATAATGACATAATATGATACCATTACGATAATAAATGATGCCTGGACTCTTAGATGCATCATCATAGATGACCATGCCACATCCATAGCATATCAATGCTATTCATGGGCATGGAAGATAAATTGAAAACCTAATTAATAAAACGACATAATATGATAATAACATAACAACAGACAATGCCTGATCTCGTAGCTATACCATTAATAATGTAATACAATAATATAATATGATAACATAACAACAGACAATGCCTGATCTGATAGCTATACCATTAATAATGTAATACAATAATATAATATGATAACATAACAACAGACAATGCCTGATCTCGTAGCTACCATTAAGATGTGTTGCATTACGCAGCTCTTCCTCCCGCCTGGCCAGCTCCTGAGCCTTCTTCTCCAGCTCCTCCTGCCGCCTCTGCAACACAAACACTTGCTGGCCACTCTCACCTCATATTACATGCAAATATAGTTATATTAGTAGCAACTTTGATGCATTAACTTAACTAGGTAACATCCAATTACCAATTTGAACAAACTTTGATCATTCCATAGCCTGTACACCTTTTCAAGCTCTCAGTGTTATTCACAGGACATTACAACTGAATTAACCATTATGTTCACAGTATAATACTGCATCCCTCCCCCACAAGAGCTTGGCTACTCACATTCCCCTCACTTCATGCCCACTTGATTACCCCACTTAGCAGTTGTTTACTCCCCCCATCCTCCCCCAGGGTCTCATGTTCACCACAATTGTCCATTACTCAAGACCTGCCATGGATGTATTATTCAAGTAAGGCTTGAATAATATATTAATAATATAATTTATAATGTCCCAATTTAATATACTACTTTCTTGAAGACTTTCCTGGAGTTCCTGGTATCAAGGAAATCAATTGATCAGGATTCTATTATTGTATTAACAATGGGTGATGAATATTGTATACGTACTACTGTGTAATTTTAAATTATTAGTTTATCCCACTGAGCAGGTGCAGTCATAGCCTTTCTAGTTCCATCTCCCAGCCTCAACTTGTGTATAGAACCTTCCATCCTTACTTTTTATTGCTTCCATAACAGAGAATAAATTAACTTGTATTTTTTACACGCAAATATGCTGAGAAGTCAAACACAGTCATTGTTGGGCAAAGCTACAACCCAAATTAATGAGTTACATGAAAAAATAAATATTACCACACTTACCTTCAACTCCTTCAGGCAGCAGCAAGGAAACATAACAAGAATAAGCACCATTTCATTACAAGAATGTGAGAATCAAGTGCAGCAGTACAATTTTACACTCAAAGTATTTTTTTAAGTGACCAGCAACAATAAAATTTCTCCTTTAAAATATGGCCTGTTATAATTTAACTGAAACAACTGGCAATGGTTGATCAATTAATAAATATCAAAGAGCTACAGCTAAGGTAAGATTGATGGTAAATTTTTTTCTAGAGGAAATGAAATATGCATTGCCAGGGGCAGAAGAAGTTCTTCCACAAGCAGATTTAACTTCTCATTTGTATGCATTTATGCTGTGAACAATATTTTGTTAATAATTATATTTAACTAATAAATAACAATATGTAACAATACCAAACATGTATTCTACAAGGCAAGGTAGCAGTTTCATGTTTGGTGCCTTGGTAAGTTTGGTGTTAGATTGACATGATTCAAAGATAGTTATGGTCTATGTTGGCATTTAAACTCAATCAAAACCAAATTCACTTGCATTAATTAAATGAATTTAAAACCTTCTTTAAAACATGTAAATTTTTCATTTCAATGTAGCACATACATCAGAACCCTCCTAAATTTTACACCCAGCTATTAAATTAGCCCTGTATTTCCTCAACAAAATATACATTTCTTGTTCAGAAATTATAAGTTTTGATTCTTTACCTTTTAGAATGCAAGAATCATTAAAAATTCTGCTTCAATTCCATGCATTTCCTATTGATATTTTCTAGGTTCAAACCTGGAACTCAGCAGCTGTTGACTGCTGCTGCTGCTGAGCAGATGGCGTGTATGGTGGCGGCTGCTGAGGTGGCACCACAGCTGTCGTGTTGGTGGCAGGCAGAGTAGCTGGCTGATTGTAACTCTGATTTCCAATGTAAAGTTGTAAAATTCAGTCATGTAATTTTTACCAAAATGTTATCATGACTACAGCTTACTTGTAAGCTAAGTTTGTAGCCAGAGATGAAACTGCAATTGGAATATTATTATTAATATAAATATTATTATTATTATAAATATTCATGTGCAATCAGTGGAATCTTGGGTCCAGCAGCCTAGGATGCATGCAATGACTTTTTCATGGGGTCTTGAAGTTTTTTAATACAAAAATATAATATAAAATTTATACCAGATACTACGGTACATCTGGGATAAAATTATAAATAATTAATGTACATATAATCAATTTGTTACAAATTTTTCAATCATAAAGGGATTATAATAAAAGTTAGTATAATTATTGTATATAATATAAATTAATTACACATTTTTTATTCATACATGGATAATAATAAAATAAAGGAATAATAAAAATTACTATAATTATTGTATACAAAATCAATTAGCTATAAATTTTTTTCAATCATAAAGGCATAATAATAAAATAAAGGGATAACAATAAAATAAAGGCATAATAATAAAATAAAGGATAACAATAAAATAAAGGGATAACAATAAAATAAAGTGGATAATAATAAATAATAATAAGAGTAGGTACCTGCGTGCGGGTGGAGGTGTCGCTGAAGGGGTCATAGTTGTCTAGGCCGGCGGAGGGAGGAGGGTTCACAGCTTGTTGGATGGAGGGATCCTGACAATTTAGAAATAGACCTTTAGCAATATTAACTTTATTTCATACCTATATATATAGGTACATCATTAGGCTGCTTAAATTGCAAGTTCATCAAAAAATTTCAAGTACTGTCAACTGGGGTGACTTCGGTTGCCGGGGTGACTTTGGCCGCATTTTTTATTTTGTTTTGCAAACAAAAGCGGGGTCATAAATGATGGCCAAAGTCACTCTGGCGTTCATGACCCCAGTGTTTACGAGCCCGTTTTTGTTTGCAAAACAAAATAAAAATTGCGGCCGAATTCACCCCAGTTGACGGTAAGAAAAATACCTAGTAAATCAACTGTATATACCATCAAATGGGGTAACAAGGGACAGTTTTAAGCATTTTTTGTCAATAACTTCTTACCATGAAATATTTCATAAACAAGTTTGGGCTCATTTTAAAGCACTCTGAGAGGGCTAAATTGTATGGCATCTCCAAAAAATTCCATATGCTATTGGTAAGGTGCCACACACAAAATAAAAGCCTCCCAAATTACTCTTGGGAATGGGGTAATTAGGGACAATTGAAATAAAACTTAATTTTAAAATGTTTGAAGCATGCAGAGTGTACTCGTCTATTAGTAACAGTAGTCTGATGTCCTCCTTTTCCTTTGTAGATGATGTAAATGTAGAATGAATGACATTTTCTGTGATTTTTACTTGTTTTTCCTTTATTGATGTTACCATATGGTATCCATGAACATGCCATCAAGCATTGACAACGACCTCGTCCACTGCAAGCAACATATCAGCCGCCATGTAGCACTTTTTTGTATCTGTAAGCTTACAGGAAGGCTTGTAATTTCACACCATTTTAATTGGGTCTAGTGAATTCACTATAACAAAAAAAGATCATAAAAACATGTGTGAAACAGGAACGGAATATTTTACTGACAACCATCATATTTCTTGGAGACATAAATCATAGTTTAGGTTAATTACTTTTCATTCTATGTTGCTCCATGCACAATTCTATCTCTGCCAATCTCTGCACAATTTTGTGATGACCAATGATGCACTAATTTTTTTGACAAGTGAACTTTTTTTTCGCTCAGCGAGGTAAATGTAATCAATATTCTTTGTTTTTAATCAATTTTTTTCTTAACTGGAGCCTTTGCTAACTGAGGTTCTACTGTGAATGCATTTTTAGGGGTGTCCCTTATTACCCTATCCTGCGGAAATGGCTGCCATTTTTTTAAATGAGAATGAGAATTCTATCAATCATTTTTTTAAACCAACACCTATGTGCAACCTTTATGTAAGTAAAATTTGTTGATATGGCAAATAATTTTTTTGCTACAGACCTTAGCAGAGTCATGTTTCCAAAATCACACTTTACACACTTTTTTTCAGGGATTTTGTAGAGGTAGTAAATGTATGATATCTTAACTTACTTTCAGCTGCTTAGTACCGTAAAATGGGGTAACTTAGACCACTTTTTTTTATAAATAATGCCATTTTTTTACTAGCTAAATTAAACTTGAATTGAAACATGCAAAATACAGGTCTAAACTCTAGCTTCACTCACCATAAATTGCTGGCTCCTGCCTCTCATAGTCTTTATGTAATTTCAAAAAAAGTGATGGTCTTTGTTACCCCAGCTCTTGGGGTATCTTAGACCGGGTGGTAAAATCAATTATATTTTTTGGTAAAATAACTCCAGGTTTTGGTGCATTGTAGTAGAACTCTTCTAGTTACATATGCAAATGACAAAAACTTGAGGAAAGTGTCATAGTTTGCATATGGGGGGCGCTGCCCCATAATGAGGGAAATGTGACTACCTAATGGCAGCCCTGATGGGGTAATATTGACTGGCTTGGAAATTAAGTTAAAATTACCATATATAAGACTCTGTAGAGTCAGAAACATAAAGAAAAAACACAAATAGGCTGTCAAACATAAAATATGTTATATATGGTAATTTTATATCAACTTCCAAGCTGGTTTATGTTACCCCATCAGGGCTGACATTAGGTGGTCTAAGTTACCCCATTTGGGGGCAGCACCCCCCATTTGCAAACTTAGACACTTTCCTAAAATTAGGCATTTGCATATGTAACTAGATACTAGAAGAGTTCTACTACAATGCATCAAAACCTGGAGTTATTTAACCAAAAAATAAAAAAATTGGAGTGGTACTCTGACAGGTTTTAAATAATAGCTTTTTTTCATGGGTCACATTTTTAATTTTTTAACCTATTAGATATGCAAATTGCAAACTTTTAAAATCTTTCTATTGTGTTATGTAGCCTCAGTATAAGGCCTTTAATGCCCATTGACAAAATTTTTCTATGTCAAATAGTTTTTGAATTTTTGGGGTTTTTGTTAAAAAAACGAAAAGTGGTCTAAGTTACCCCGCCGGTCTAAGTTACCCCATTTTACGGTAGTAAAAATGTTGAACTTTACACCACTATTTTTAGTTTTGCAATATTTTGATTAGTTCAGCTGCTACAACATTTCTACGAAATGTGGGACGACTGTCCCAATTACCCAATATTAATTTATTCGCTGATTTCAAGTCGTAAATAAATTAATAGATGATTAAGTTGAGTGATGGATTTAGACCCATCAAAACTTATTCCGACACAACTTGAATTGGACACACACAGATCATTCCAAGCTTTGTACAAAAATTGAAATTTGCTTAATTAAAAGCCTAATAGCTGTTAATTAAAACATAATTAAGTAGTGTTCAATATTCGTTAGTGTTCTAATTCAAAGCCGTGTTGTATCCATGGTGGCAATCCATAGGTTATTCAAAAGAACCTGTTCTTATGTCATTTTGAACCGATCAACGCTTTTTTACGGACCGATCGTAAAACACACCTTCTGTGACCTTCACCGGCAAAAGCTTTTGCACTTCTGAAGAAAGTCAAATATTGCCACACACAGTGACGGAATATAGGGATTTGGTAGGTTTCCATTCTAAAGGCTTTTTAATAAATATGGCAACATTTTGTGACGTTTCATCATTGCTGACGCGTAGTGAAGTGTTTTGAGAGTCGCGTGAAGGCAACAGAACTTATGTAACGCATACGTTTTTTTTTTATAGTTTTTCATTTCTCGATGCGTCCTTAATGTGTCAGAATATACCATGTTTACCCTAATTTGTATTCTATAGAGAAGCATAATTGGCAATTACCATCTGCCTCGATAACACCTCAGCATCTGTAGGGCAATGAATTTGCCTAATATTCCAAATTAGTAAACTATCATTCCGAGAAATCCATCCTGATTTAGCTGATTAAGGCCTATTACTATTAAACAGTAACAGAAATAAGTATCTTCAAAAATTAGTAGGGAAGCTCTAGACACTACACACTAGTAGACAGAGCTGGTAATTTGGTAAAGCCAATTTGGAATATTGGGCATAAGATTCCATAAATCATGGGTTAAAGATTAAAATGATTCTTTCAAGGGTGTTTTAGAGAATCACTGTTAAAACTAGGCCAAATTATATGCAAGTGGAGTAAATTGTAAAGCAATCATTTTATCAAACTTGGTTAAACATGTGAGCAGTAAAGCTGCATATTTATGCTGCAATCCTGCAAGATTCCAGATGTACAAAAAATTGATCATTATTGATTTTGTAGCTACGTGATTTCATTAATAAGTAAGAAAATTGCAAGCTAAAGCTATGCTAAGACAATGAAGAAATTTCTAACAACTTACCGCAAAAGGATCAGCAAAAGGGTTGTCGTCAAATCCTGACATAGCTGATAGTTATAAATCGTTCTAGGTAGGTATAACACTTAGGTATTAACAGGTAATGAGAAGTTGAGAACCCTACGTTCGTTTTATTTTTAATGATCCAAAAAATATAGAAATCTCATAAAAATAAGTTGGAAATGTTCAATGACAGCCGACAGGTTAATCTATTCAACAACGAAAATCACAATGATAGCATTCCAAACGATAATTAGATCTGTTATTTTCCGATAATCATGACTCACTAAAACAAAGTTTATCAAATTATCTTGATCACGCGAGCGTTCGTCATCACATAACGCAGCAGTTCAGTCGGTGTCTCTTCTCCAGCAGCTCACAGATGGAACTGTATTTACGTGCGCGTATTCAAGCTTCATGTATGGCACGGTCAGTAGAATACAATCACTGGATGATCCTGCTCGCCCAATTAGATGTTCGCTGATGCAGTTCTACGAATTTGATTTTTTCTGTATAAATTGAGAAAAACCTATTCGATGAAAAGTCAACATAACCGAAAATTTTCATTATTCAACTGAATGTACAGTTTTGGCGTAGCGTGAACGTAGAAAAACTATAGACGAACGAAAATGTCTAAACACCGCTGTGGAAGTGTCAAATCCAGGATTGTTATCGAAATATTTATATAAACAATAATTGAAGTGTAAAATATCTTCATTAGAAGTATATTGACGCACAAGAAATAGTTTTGACGTTATTTTATAATTAATTTGCTAATAGTAAATTCAAATGATCATTCGACTTTGACAACATGATGTTTAATCCTCCACGGCCCTGTTCATCGGTACCGAATCGACACTTCTCCGGTCCCAACAACTTTTACCAGCACTGCGCACGTTGCAGAGTCTGTTCGAAGCTGCTCCAGATATTTATTAATCGTAGCATGACGGGTATTTATTACTCGCAGCGGGCGGGGCTGTCCTACCAAAAACGGTCGAACCTGCTCATGAAGCTTTTCACCGAGGGCGCTGTGACGACAGACTCAAGCCGACTATCGCATGAGTTAATTACTCGCTGTGAAAAGAAGTTGCTACTTATCCTGAGTCGACGTCTGCATTTTTCAAGCTTACGAGAGTGGCGTCTAGTATCCCTGTTGCTGGATAGCTGGAACTTAGGCTTTGACACCCTGTACATTCCGTGCACGCACCTGAACGTATCGATAAGGTCACCCTGCAGGCACCCGTGCTCAATGCGCCAAGGTTGGGACGTCTCAAGGCGACGTGGAAGGTTGGGACGTCTGTCGTTGAGCAATGTAAGTTCACTGCCACGTTAGTTCACGAACCTTGAATTCTCTATGTAATATTGTTTAAGTTATTTTTCATACGTTTACTTAAACTCAGTTCATGATTATTAGCTTGAAATACGTTACTTTTATTTCAGGTTGTTAATCATTTGTTTGAATGAAGCTGTGATTGCCCAAGTCTTCATTAAAATCCAACAGAATGTATAATCTTTACAACAAATCAACCAGACGACCTAGCCATAATTTGGATACCTTCGTTATGGGCCCTTTTGTAGTGAAGTCAATAATTATTGCTAGTCGTTGCAATCAAACGACCTACCTAATCAACCTCAAGTCATGGGTTCTCCCGTATAACGTCGGCAGGACATTACCGAACGTACGCTACAACTACGAACTTACGCTACGTAGCGAAGCCTACTTCGGAGTCTCATCTCTAGCTTAACACGGTGTGACGCGAACCACCAGCACAGGCAGATGGCCTAAAAACGTCCAAGTCCACGGATAAAAAGGACAATAATTCATAATATACCAGTAAATTTGTAGGTTCCGGTGCAAAAGTTAAATTTTCCTAAAGTTATAAAATATAACGAGGTAGTACTGCCATCATAAATTTATGCCAATACCGGTGGATCGTGCCGCCCTCGACGTGTTGAAGTTGCCTGGGCCAGCGTTACTTATTATTGGGTCTTTGAAGAGACGATAAGATATTTCATCCTTATACTGCGCCCAAACCACGCACTTACATAATGATCGAAAGATTTTATCAAAATAGCAATGCAAGTTTCTTCTACGTTCGTGTGAATATTAATATAATATAGCACAACATTTTATACATAGCATTACATATTACAGCATCCCTAATAATTCGGTACCGTCCGTCGTTCGCGTGTGTATAACGAAGAAGGAATAAAGGATTGAGGATCACAAGTCTTGCACGTTTATTAGTTACATCAAAGCGTTAACAATGTAAACAATATACAGTAGAAGTTTATATTACTTATTATATTATTGTCATCACCGGTGCACAGCACAATCTACGTAAGCGCAGGTCATCCGCGCGCAGTTGTAAACAGGGTTGCCAGACGGCCTTTTTTTCCGGACAAATTCGCCCATTTAGTTTTTTTCAATTGCGTTGTTCGGCTAAAATTTATGATGGCGATACTTCCTAATTAAATTTAATAAAAAGTGCTTAAAAAATTGGGATTTCTACACCGGAACCTATATATACACCGGACCAATATATACTAGTATATATTGAGCTAAATGCCCTTTTGGCCTTTTTTCGGGGTCTTGGCCCTTTTTTAGGCCATCTGACAACCCTGGTTGTGAAACATCACAGGAGAGACGCACGCTATTACAATAAGGCATCGCACAAAAGCTTTACGAATATATTCATATAATATAATGGTTATCAACAATGATTATTAAGCCATGTTCAACATGTAACCCTTTCTAGACATCGCAGAATTTTTACAGCAAGCTGGGTCTCGAACCCGCAACTCAAGGCTCTAATTCCTCGCCCGGATCACACTTAGAACTTAAGGAACTGCGTACTTAGAGGAACTCCGCGGTGGAAATCTGTAATACATCAACAGATTTACTCATTATATAATATAATTTTTTAATTTATTTGTTCTGTTTACTGTTTCTTATAGACGCTGTTTCCTCAAACGTAACAGCCATAATGAGCTGCGTTGTTCAGACATAAGTACGACACATTTTAGCCATGAAAATTTTGAGAGTGAATACAGATATTTGAAAGAAAATATCTATATTTGGGCGAGCAAAATTAGGAACGCATATCAGTTACATAATGGAACTAAATAAAGTATAATATATTATTCTCAAGATTGCAAATCAGTAAAATCATATAATATTTTAACGGGCCAAAAAAAATTGGGCAACAAATAATGCAACAAGATAAAAAATGGTATAAGAAGTAACATTCAATCATTAAAACACGATAACACGTCGATAAACATGATGTAAATATTGCAAGACGCAGGTGAAAAATTTTGCTTAATCCCTTATTCTATGGTTTTCAAACCATGGAACACTTATTCTATGGTTTTCAAACCATGGAGAAGTAATGACAGTAATACGAGGGAAGTAATGACAGTAATACGAGGGAAGTAATGACAGTAATACGAGGGAAGTAATGACAGTAATACGAGGGAAGTAATGACAGTAATACGAGGGGAGTAATGACAGTAATACGAGGGGAGTAATGACAGTAATACGAGGGGAGTAATGACAGTAATACGAGGGGAGTAATGACAGTAATACGAGGGAAGTAATGAGAGTAACTACACGCTTAGGTCAGCGCTCGAGTATAACTTCGATGGAGTTATTATGGCACCTGAGACTGCAGTCACAATGTTATTTGTACGTAAGATAGGGTGCTATGTTTCTCCGGTGATAAACCATCCTCGGTTCGTCATCTTACCTGATCCAAACATCTAATAACTGATTGGAATATTCATCTATTAAATCTAGAATAAAATCACAAAAAACGGCGACAAAAAACTTGAAGTAAGCTGAGAAAATGGTCTAAGTGTTCGGGATACAAACATTGGCAACATAAAAATCCTTCTTGAACAAGCAATAAAACCAGTAAGACTATTTACTCGTCCTGGTCACAGTTTTTCATTTTCGGGCATGGCTTTTAGCCTTTTCTATATACAAATACTTTCTATATAAAAACAATTAACTACGGAACTTAATTCCTGTTGGTCATTCCTGTTGGCCACCATGATTGCAATCTCGACCGTGAAAATGTCGCTTCGCTCACCACAAAATATCGTTTGTACTGTTGCGCAAGTGACAAGCATTTATTGGTGGTAAAGAGTACCTATAACCACACAGGCACCTACTACATGATAAGTGCCTCCCGGTAGTTTGTATGCGCAGAGACAACAATCTTGTGATCAGTCTCGTTCTCCATCCCTTTCTTTGGCTTGCCTCCCCTTTTACCAATGCTAGCGATGATTTTACCAGCCATGTGCACCTTAGAGCCATGGTTGGCCTTGGCATCGGCTGACATGGCTTCCCATGTGTCTGAAAAATTTTGCGAAGAATAACACATCGCTCCTGAAGGCGCTAGAGTCCTCTTGTCACTTTCGGCAACGCCGTTATACTTAGCGCCGGGAAGAGTAGGACTTCTGGCAGAACTTGGCCGATGTGCTTCCGGAACACTCGACATACCGGAAGATAATAGAGCTTTAGATGGCTGGGAGATCTTCGAGTTGGCAAATTGATTGCCAGGAGCCATAGGATACGAAGGTTTGATAGAATTCTCATGGAAATGGCCTTTGGAATTCTGAGATCGCGGTTCCAAAAAGTGGCGTTTATCTTTTGAGTTGGATGACGTGTCATGATTCATATTTCCCTTCTCACTCCCTCTCAAAACTTCATTGGAAAATAGTTCCTTTCTTGTAGCCGGCAAAGGGGCGGTTTTTACTGACGGCAGGCCAGGTACTGACTCGTCAACAAGCGAGCTGACGTCATGGGTGCTCAGCCTCTCAGGGACTACTGACAGTCTGGTGCTTCGGGAATTGCCAGGAAGAGAAGTGGGGGAAAATTTTGTTATTGAACCTTCTGTAGGGACAATTTCTGGAGCAAAATGAACAGACTTGGGGGCTTTATTAAGAGCTTTGAGCAGAGCTTCGTTAACCGCTTCAATTGCGGCACTTTCATCATCTGAGAAATCCTCATCTTCTTCATAGCGTAACTGAGGATGCCGTAGTGTGGCTTCCATCAAACTCGATGCAAGTCGATCAAGAGAAGAAAATTTCAAACGTAAACTTTCGGAGGCAAAATCGTCTAAAGTCAGTTTATTTTCAGCAAGTGTTGCTCTGATCCTCATTAATTTGATTCGGAGATCTCTTGTGATGTCTTTATCGTCTTCCAAAGGCACGTTTCTCCTCTCACGGTCTTCCCCTGATGAGGTTGTAAGATAGGAAAGAGTCTTTGAACTAACAGGTCCGGTACCAGGAGATGGCCCCGTGTCTTCAGATCCCTCAGGCTCTGTCCTGGGCATCAAGGAAGCCTCTGACCCTTGGTGATGCTGCTGCAAGACTGTGGTCTCTTCACCGTCCCCATCTCTATCGGCACTTAGAACGCTCTTCATTGAACTCCTGCTACGATTCCGGCCACAGGGCGCGTAGGTTTTACGTGTTCGAGAGAACACTGAAATGTTTGAGGGTGAGAAGGGAGCTTGAGTCCGCTCACCTCGCATTAGATCTTGGTTTTCAGCTTCGGAAAAAACCATTCCTTCATCGTTTAAAATAACCTGTGAAGAAAGCACGATATTTGTATCAGCGCGACCTTCATTTTCAGCGTTATTTGGATGGCAGGGTGTTGAGGATACAGCACTTGTGACGTCGTGGGTGATCATGAGCGAGTCTGGCTCAAACGACGCATCGAAATCACTTGCTGGCTCATAGCATTCATTCTGGTAATCATATGATACTAGCTTACGGGTACCACAAATTCTGGGACTGTTATTCAAATTAAATGGGTTTTTACCAACAGATTCGATGACAGAATTTGGTGAACGGTCTAAATGTGGTATTGTATCAACCAAGATTGGCGAGACAACAGTAGTGCATTCCGTTGAACTTTTAGTTAAGGTTTCGTTGCGGATGGCGTTCTCTGGGCTGTGCTTTGTCTTGCCTTGATGTAGGTTGTTCTTGGTTGGCTTCTCCAAATCCGATGTGTGAAGTAATGACTCCCTTGAAACTGAAAGTTTAGGAATTTTACTTTCAGCGCACGGCTTCAGCCTCTTCTCGCTTGTGTTACCGAGTTTCTCTGACTTCTCTCCATCGAAGTATTTATTAACGTACAACCCCTGCTGTGGAAGTGATAAGGACCTAGACACTTGCTTCTTTGAGTCACTTTCAGTATTGGGGTCGAAATGAACTTTGGGCTTCGATGTGGCATGGGAGTTGTCTTTTTTGGGCAGAGGCTTCTTGACGTTATAGATGTTTTGAGGTTTAGGAATAAGTGTCATTGTGCAAGTATCGCTTGGGACTTGGCAGGACAGTTTAGAAGTTTGGTGGTTGGGATCGAGGGCCGAAGGTAATTTTGATGCCGATGAAGGATTTGGCAGTCGTGTTACTGCAGAATCTCTAAACTGATTGGTTTTCGTGTGGGGATTTTTTCTTTGAGCTGTGCTATTCTTAGATGAAAAATTAATCTGGGTAATATTTCCATTTACTTTCATTTGACAGCTAGAGATCCCAGCAGCAGATACTTCCGACTCGATATTTACAGGACTGACGTCTCTCGTTTCTTGGACCAAGCAATCGAAATTGCCTTCGTTGTCTGGAGTTTCTTCGCCGCTAGAAAACGCCATAACGTTCCCAGAAACGCTCAATATTTCGATAATTTTATCATCAGAAACACGATCTAGACATGGCGGGGGAGACGTAGGGAGAGGAGGAGGTGGCAGCGAGGGAGTAGGAGATGGAGGAGGCATGGGGGGCAAGGACGGAGGTGACGCGAACGCGTCGGGAGGGGACAGAATAATGTCATCCGCGCTTGCCATCCCATGTTCACCTTCTCTTGTGATGGAAGAACCAAGATCCTCAGCTCCACAAGTCATTGATTCAGGTTTCAAAGTGGAAAAATCAATATTTGGTATATCAACTTTTGGGATCACGGAACTAAATTCAGTCATTGCTAACTCCGATCTTGCATGCGCCGAATCCATTTTCGAGGGCGAAAAATCGCCGACAGCACCCATATAATTGTCGACTGCACCCGAAGAACCACTGATTACCACCAAAGAACCGCTAACTGCACCTGAAGAGCCGTCGACTGCAACTGAAGATCCACTGACTGTTACTGAAGAACCGCTGACTGCACCCGAAGAACCGCCGACTGCAACTGAAGAACCACTGACTGTTACTGAAGAACCGCCGACTGCACCCGAAGAACCGCCGACTGCACCCGAAGTACCAGGCGCAGCAGGACCGTTCGGGACGCCCCAGCCGTGGGGCAGGTCTTTGCTGTCATCTGCTACCGACGCGTTCAAGGAATCTTGGTCCACAGGTTCTATGGCCTGCAAAAGAGCATACAAGAGAACATGGACGATTGAAATTAATACTTCAACGTGCATGACTTATCGTTATCCAATGCAATCATTGGAGACCAACGCTAATAATGTTACGAAATAGACCAACGAACCCACAGATTTTAAAGTGCATTCAAATACCTCAATTAAGGGAACTTTTATATTATTATAAATACTTTGCTTTGGTTCAAGATTACCAACTAAACTGATAAAGTACCAGCAAACTCACAGGAGTAGGCAACACAGCGGTCACTGACTATGGCCATCTGCCTTTTAATTAACGCTCTCCCGCCGTATGTCACTCTTCGGGAACATAACTTTAAAGTTAACCCTCTACCGTCGTAAGTTACTCTCCTGGGGCCATACTTTCAAAACTGGTTAAGTGAACGTAAGTACTTACGCTCTATTTTCTTGTCTATGATTGGTGGATTTTGCTTGAAAGGCCGTCAATGATTGGCTGATGAAATTACGAGCTCTTAACTTTTTCTGAAAGTATAGGCCCGGGAACATAACTTTCAACTTAAATTATACGTAAACTATTGAGTGTAGCAACCTGAGGACGTTTGTACGCAACAGAGAACATTTTAGAGTTGTCGAACGTGGCGGCAACCACCAGTGCAAGTCATTTTGCGCTCACTAGAACGTATCCTTTTTGGGATGTAGGCGCGTGACAATATTACTTGGGTTAATCATGTCAGGCGGTAGACGGGTAGAGAAATAAAAAGTCACAACTCAACTGCAAATACTGCGCTCAATAAAAAAATCAGGCAGGGAACTGAATTATCTTGAATGATCTAATAATGGGCCATGGACAGTAAAAAAATCGGCTATAACGAAAGGGTTGCAACACATAATACCCAGCGTATCTAAGCCGCCATCCATGCACCAACCTGGTCACCATCCAGGCTGTCCCGGTCGACCACCTCATCGATGTCGGCGTCGCTGTAGAGGTCGCCTTCGCAGCTGCTGAGGCTGTCCGTCCAACTCCTGCTGGTGTTCACGTTGATATCGAGGGCGTAGTATGGGGATTTCGAGGGCTGTTGAATATCAACTTTCGTCACCGCAGTAGGAGTTCTAGGATTTTCCGACTTAGGAACGAGTTGGTCTTTGAGCTTCGCTGTCCCGGTACTCTGATGATGAATGCCTTCGTTGAGATCTCGTTGAGTTGGTTGAGATTTTGAAAATTGCTCCCCAACCGCCGCGAAATTCGGTGCACATTTCTGAGCTTTTGTCGGATCTGAAGATTTAACAAAGGCTTCTTCATCATAGAAAACGTCACGGTCCTTATCTAAATTGCATTTGCTGACCATTGTAGATGGTAGAATAGAATATGGATTTCCATTAGAAGAGTTTAATTGCGTGTTAATGAGATGACAGTTCTTGTTATCATAACCACCGATGAGGAGAGGACTGCCAATCTTGCTGCCGTTGTTGTTCAGGTCGCGCTTAAGATCCAAGGTATGTTGATTTTCGTTCATCGTTTGAGCTGCAACGAACGCTGCAGAATTCCTCACGTCGATATCTGATTCGTCACTGCCATCTTCCTTTAGTTTACATTTCTCGTCAACCAAAGCTTCGTTCTTCGTATTCTGTCCGTTGAGCTTCATGACGTAATCCAGAGTCCTGTGATCTCCGTCTTGCTTTTCTCGACCATTCTTGTCACTCCACGTGCCGACTTTCCCTTCATCCATCGCGTAGGATGGCTTGTCATCTACAGCCTCGTACTCTGCATGGAGTTTGCTGTCATCCACTATCGTCTCTTTCTCCTCATCCATTGTCGTTTCCTTCTCGTCATCCACTGTCGTATCCTTCTCGTCATCCACTGCCTTATCTTTCTCGTCATCCACTATCGTCTCTTTCTCCTCATCCATTGTCGTTTCCTTCTCGTCATCCACTATCGTATCCTTCTCGTCATCCACAATGGATGCCAAAGCCTTCAGTTGCTCAGCCATGGAGCGGATGCGCACCTGGATACCGGCCAGCTGATTGTACAGGTCGCTATCCACGGCCACCAGCTCCGTCTGGAATAACGATTAAAATTATATAGTGTTAACAGCAGGTTAAGTTGTGTAAAGTTATAATTGTGTTAACATCAGGTTAAGTTGTGTAAAGTTATAATTGTGTTAACATTAGGTTAAGTTGTGTAAAGTTATAATTGTGTTAACAGCAGGTTAAGTTGTATTAAGTTATAATTGTGTTAACATCAGGTTAAGTTGTATTAAGTTATAATTGTGTTAACATCAGGGTAAGTTGTGTAGAGTTATAATTGTGTTAACAGAAAGTTAAGTTGTGTGAAGTTATATATAGCGTGAATGATGTGTTCTACACATCGAAGAATCTTCACAGCTAATAGCGTTTCGAAGCCGCTGCTTTTCATCTGCCAGTAAACAACATTTATTTCTCTATTTAATTGTATCTATTAATAAATTTTATAATGTATTTCTTTATTAAACTATATATATATATTTATTTATAAATTGTATTATGTCCTCTAAATAGCGTAAATGATAAATTATATATAAGGAAATATATAATGTATAATGACTGCACTAAATAATTCATATCTTAGCTACCGGATGAGGTACAAAAATTAAATAATATTACAGATATTGTAAATCATTTATAATCCTAACAGAATACTCTTGCAATTCGTTTAAAACATTGTTATATAAAATACTTAAAAAAACTTTTAAAATAAACACGTTTTTCTTGTGGACTAAAAAGTAGAAAATAAATTATGGTTCGCCCCAAAAAAAACGTGTGTCGGGCAGTTTTATGATTAAAGCGAAAAGCACACAACACTTAAATTTGGAAATTTGATGGTGAACGTACAGCCCGACCCACGTTTTTTGGGGCGAGCCATAATTTATTTTATACTTTTTAGTCCACAAGAAAAAGTAGAAAATAAATTATGGTTTCGCCCCAAAAAAACGTGTGTCGGGCAGATTTATCATTAAAGCGAAAAGCACACAACACTTAAATTTGGAAATTTGATGGTGAACGTACAGCACGACCCACGTTTTTTTAGGGCGAACCATAATTTATTTTCTACTTTTTAGTCCACAAGAAAAACGTGTTTTTTTTAAAAGTTTTTTTAAGTATTTTATTTTCTACTTTTTAGTCCACAAGAAAAACGATTAA